GAGGTGTAGGCACCTCGGAATGATTGTGATAAGCTAGCACTAAGTCCCTCCCCCGTCCACCTTTATTCTTTTCTTTACAATAAGGCTTTCAAATAAGTCATGGTTGTACGGCAGTGAAGCATCGGTGTTGAACACTGATGTCATGCTGTCGATGATGATGATGACTAACAATTGGCTTCGGTGGAAGCAATGTTTTACGCGATGTGATTCAGTGCAAATGGAGAGGTGTGCCGAACTGACGTGTAAAACAGTTGTGATGAACGTGACTGATCACGAAATAGTGCACCGTTGCTAAAAAGACCATGACAAATACGTGTTTTTGAACAAAGTTATATGTGGTTACAGTTCGCGCCTGTTTAGTGTGCCTTCTAAAATGTTTTGTAACGCGGCCTGGTTCACAGTCGTGGTTCCCTCGCGTCGAAAATCGAAAACTGGTGACTGCCCGGATGTTGGTTTAATGGAACCGATCGACGAATCAACAAGCGCGAATTACGTTGTAACGAAAACACTACACACAAACAGAACGCGATACAACACTGTGCCAAAGCGATATGTACTACAGGCGGGTAAACTTATGAGTAATTATCTGTTAACATTAACCTCAGATCAATATAGATCAATACAGAAGGTTGTGTTTGGTCTAGAGTTGTCATCATCATCATCATCAACGACAGCATGACATCAGTGCTCAACACCAATGCTTCACTGCCGTACAGCCATGACTTATTTGAAAGCCTTATTGTAAAGAAAAGAATAAAGGTGGATGGGGGAGGGACTTAGTGCTAGCTTAACACAATCATTCCGAGGTGCCTACACCTCCAGACATTCACTCAGGCAATCTGGACAGAAACTGACAACAAGAACGCCACTGACAACGGTTGGCAGCCATATCTTGTAGTGTCTCAAACCAGGCACAGTGAGGATCACGCGGTCCACATCCTGGAAGGCGAGTAGCACCGACAGCACCCAAGCGTTTCATGGCAGTTAACGTCACCTACGAAGCCTCCTTGTAGAAGACAGGTGAAACGTGAAGAACAGAGACAACAAAAACGTTGTGACGAAAGGGTAATCATGGAAGCAGTGACCGAAATGGGGTATGGAATAACTGCTGCTTAGTGCATTGCTACGGGGGTTGATAGGCGATGGTAGGATCTTAAGGCAAATCTGTTATTCAGTTGTGCTAGATATCCTTCCCGGGGATAAAAAACCCCGGCTTGTGGGCGACCCCACCCGAAAAACAAGCTAACGGTAGTCTGCTTCCACAAGATGTCAGTACACACACCCCTCCCGCAAAGAATAGTTATTTGTAGTATCCCGACCCTCGTGGTTCCCTCGGGCGGCATGGCTGTTAGGCACTGAAAAGGGTGCTACAGCTGAATGATATCTTTATGACAGCTAGGCCCCGAAAGGATGTAACAGCTGAACGATGGTGATGTGGTGGTGGTCGTGTGGGAATTGTGCATAGCTCTGAGGTTGAATGCGCCTCTCTGGTTTGGATTCCAGTAAGCAGCCGTTGTTGCGCCGTTTAGTTGACTGCTTCATTTAAGATCAGCTCGTCTCGACGCGTTAAACGGTGCTCACTTGTTGTGCCAGCATATGCTCCGACAGGCGCCATAGATGAGGTCGGTAAAATCTCCTAAATCGAGATTTATGACGATTGCTTCGGCTAGTGAGGAGCCTAGGTGTCATGACCGCGATAGGTGATATGAATGCCCATTAATTTCGGAGGGAGCCCATCTTGATGGGATTAACGCTGATCGCACATGTAATGAGAAGGGATGTTTTGGCTTGTGTTCTGAAGATCTACTGTTCCTAGACAGCCCAGACACTCACCACATGTTACCTGGAGGTCACTAACTCTGAATCGGTCAGGGCCTCGGTCATGTGGCAATTGACTGCCGTCTCTGCACATGGCATTGTGTGGGCCCGTGTATCTATCCGGCCTCCCTCTGGAACACGCCGATCGATGCGTGGCCATTCAGTTCATCACGTAGGAAGCGTCCTTCTGACCCAACTGTATCAAGTTGGGATGGCTGGAAGGCTCCCGAAACTTAGCGAATACAATGATAGTAATAGAAGTTGAAACTGGAAAATGTTGGAAAAATCCGTACTCATAACTTCTGGAACCGTCTACCCGAGGTCATTTGCACACCCCAATGAACACTGGATTTGGTCACGATTTTTTTCATTTATGTCAGGAAAATCTTATGAACATCAAACGGCTATGACAGCACATACAGATCCCTCAAACAAAAAAATAATAAATCGTTTATTAGTATCACATTTTCGGTGCATAGCTCCCATGCTACACAAAGGAATCATGAAAGCTGAGATACTCGTAGGTTGCTCAAGCCTTGATAAGAACAGTCGAGATGCCGGAGTTTGGCTTGAACCACGGACATTCCGGCTAGTGAGTTCGCCCCTTAACCACCAAGCCATCTCGTCCACTCAAATGTCGAATATTGAAGAGCCTAAGGATTGACAAAATCGTTCAACTGTGACACCCTTTCGGTGCCTAGTTGCCATGCTACCTGAAGGAAGCACGAGGGCTCGGATACTGCCAGGTCGTCCAAGCCTACACGTGGGAAGTTGAGATGCATAAACGTCGTTCGAACCACAGACCTTCAGGTCAAGTAGTTCGCGCTCTAACCACTTGACCTATCTCCCCCCCCCCCAAGATGCGTTAGTTCTGACGAATGAACTCAACGAACGAATTCCAAAGTACGAAATTGCGTCCGCCAATTCGCGCCAATTGCTGCACCAAAAAGTGTCCCGTTGGGTCTCAAAGGACGCGTGTATCAAACTACGGTGTATTGTTGTGCGGTTGCGAGACTTTGTTAAGTTGGGGAGAGGAAGGAGATTTGAGATCTTCAGGTCTTTGAGCACCGGTGCCTCAGAGCCGTAGCTGGAATCGGCTAGAACCCACGAGTTCTCATCCATGTGACCAGGAGACGGGTATTTGGTGAAGCAGACGATATCTCACTGAATAATTCATCCATCACTGCAAGCTAATTTGGTTGGGCCATGTGTAATGCTCACCGAATCACCGCTCTCCGAGAAGGGCTTTGTTTTCCGTGTCCGATTCGGAGTAGCAGAAACCTGAGGTTGGGGAGAATTTATAACGGCAGAAGAGAATGAGGGATATTACGTAAAGCTGGGGCGCTGTTGGTCCTGTTCGCTCCCCAGGATGGGGCCCATGCCATCCTCCCTGTGTTTACGGGAGGTACTGGACAATATAGTGGCCAGTCGATATCAATGGTGTTTGTGCTGTCAGTTTCCATCCAGGTTATTTGGCTGTGCTCAGATGTGGGTATTCCGGCTTCCACTTCCTATCCCACCTTTTTGTTTCCATTAAAATGCAGACGGCCTAACCACAATTCCTGGAGTATTTTCCCTCCGATACGGTGTCCATAAGGCCTCGCTATTTACACAGCAATTGCGATAGATTCCGGTCTCCGAGCTGCATTCCGTTCAGGCGGCGTAGTCACTCACTACCTGAAATGCACTTGCCTTTGTGGATAGAGGCATTTAAAAGACCGTATGGCGCTTCAAGTGGATGTTCTCTAGAAAGTCGATGACTCATGTGAATATCTGCGGCAAGGTTGAAATCATCAGATGGCATCTGGTTATCTGAGTTCGCGATAGCTCAGTTGTTAGGGCGCGAACGTACTGACCGGAAGGTCCGTTGTTCCAACCCAACCCCGGCATCTCGACAGCTTCTGTCCAGGCTGGAGCAATCTGGCAATATCTCAGCCGTCGTGCTTCCTTCTGGTGGCATGGTAGTTAGACATTGAAAGTGTTACAGCTGAATGATTTTTTTT